TTCCGTAGCGGAATATTTACGTTCCGATTCGTTTAACGTGCGGCTAGCGTAAGCGATTACATGTTCCTCTCCATCCGGAGGAACTTTCTGGGCTAACACAGCTCCTAATCCATAATCGGACGCATCCTGTTGTAATATAAATGGATGATTGAAGTCTGGATATGAGATTATGGGACTAGTTATGAGTTTGTGTTTTAACTCATCGAAAGAATCCTGACATTCTGGTATCCAGACGAAAACAGGTGAACGCTTAGCACGAATTAATTGCAAAAGAGGCTCAGCTATAGTTGCATAGTCTTGGATAAACCGACGATAATAACCGGTTAATCCAAGAAATGAGCGGACACCTTTGGCTTTGTACGGAACAGGGAAATCATGTGCAGCTTTTAATTTTTCTGGATCAGGTCGTATACCCTTGGTACGAACTATGTGTCCTAAATATTTGAGCTCTCTGTGGCAAAAATGACATTTAGATGCTTTAAGAGTTAGATTACTTTGACGCAATCGTCCTAAAACATCGTTTATGTCTTTGAGATGTTGATTAAAAGTAGAAGAGAAGATGATGACATCATCTAGATATACTAGGCAACAGCGCCATTTCAAGTCGGACAAAATAACGTCCATAAGGCGTGAAATGTAGCCGGTGCATTAGTTAAACCAAACGGCATCACGGTGAATTGAAATAAACCATCGTGTGTCACAAATGTCGTTTTCTCTTTACTTTCCTCATCGAGCTCTACTTGCCAAAAACCTGAACGTAAATCTAATGTGCTAAAATATTTGGCATCATGCAAAGCATCGAGAGTATCGTCTATCCTAGGTAAGGGGTAAACATCTCGAACGGTGACCTCGTTCAACCGACAGTAATCAATACAGAAGCGCATGGTTCCGTCTCTTTTCGGCTGTAATGTCACCGAAGCTGCCCAAGGTCCAGTAGCAGGTTCAATGATATTTTGTTCTTTCATATAAACTAGCTCTTGGGTGATACAGAATGTTGTGGCCTATTTATACGAAATTTTCATGCATCATTACCAGTTATTTATATTATTATTAAAGTTCTATATTTGATTAATTCACTAGGACAATTTTTGCTTTTAAATGCATTTTTATCATTTCAACATGGATTCAGAGCATTGGGTAATTTTTTTGTTGATGCTAATGCATTTGAATCTCCCCGCTTTCCACGTGTGACAATGTGCGATTTTATGATAAGACATTTAGGATCAAATCAACATTGGTATGCGATACAATGTAATTTGCCTATTAATCTCTATAATGAAAAAATATTTCTTGGTATTTGGTTATGGTTAATTATTCTAACAGTAATTAATTTGATAAGTATATGTTTAACGTTATATTCATTAATCAGATCATCCAGAATATGTTTTGTTGAACAACATTTAACAGAAAAAGAAGATATAAACTCATTTACTGATTATTTGCAACCCGATGGCTATTTGGTTATTCGAATAATTTCTAATAATACCGATGATATTGTAACCGCAGACATTTTAAATCATTTATACGAGAAACGTCCTCTCCGTTCTCCTTCAGAACCAACAAGAGAAAAACTGATCCTAGGTTCAAACTCATCAACGTTGTAATACGAATAGTACAACATGATAATATCGACTTTAATTCTACAGTATTTTCTTCAGAATTTAAAATTTCCGTCGGTTTTTCATTTACAGTTTTTTATGTTGTGTGATGTATCCAGTAACAGGACAATTAACATTGTCGAATACAGTGATATGTCAACATTAGCATAATAATGGCTTTCAACTTGATCAAGTGACTTGAAAATGGGTCTTCGTCAGTACTGGTATTGATGGTACTGATATTATACTCTTAGCATGATGATAATTTCTAGAAATGATTATGACCAGCGCTTCAGTAGTTTTCATAGAAAGTTAGGACACGCAGTTTTATCCAGATCGCTCAGTTTTCTCACATATGTTATGTAAGAGACGAAAGGGATAGAGAACAGCTGGACGAATAGGAGCAGTGAAATAACCTCGGAAAGACGGACGAAAAGATGTTTTTGTTCTGTCTGGTTTATTTTTTTTCTCTATGATAATAAATTATATCACTACATATCATAAGAAATCTAACCGCAGTTTTTTATGACTGTTGTCAAATTCATATGGTCATCCATTCGCTTCGAGAAGAAGAAGTATGATAACGTAAGTAGATTTGGTCAGCAGACATGTCAAAATATAAGAGTAAAAAATTCGCGGTTCAACCATATAAACAGTACCGATCAATACTTCGAGTACTGGTATTGAGGGTATTGGTACTGTTGCATGCCTAGCAGTATTTGTGGAGCACGACAACGCTAGATTTCGACTAACGCGGCAAGGACTCCAAATACACCGAATTTTTGGAGACCCGATTCTCTAGAAAACCGATTTTCCAGCTCAACATTTTTTCCTCCACCTAATTTTTCTATCTGTCTACATTGTAGAGCATGTCCGGTTGTCTATAAACTGTAAAAAATAAAGTGTGTAAATGACACACATAAAGTGAACGCCAAGTGGATTCCCCGTGACCGTCTAGAACGTACGGCGTAGGTGTGTAAAATTCACACTGAGAAGGGATCTTCTAGCTTTACACACTGAGACCAATAATGCAGTCTAGTTGTCTAAACTGTCTGTACTGGAAATGTCTCCGATCCGTCAATCCGCTGTTCAAGTCTATCATATTGCGACTTTTTTTTTTCGCTTTTTTTTCTTATCTGTTTTGGCTAGGAGTGACAGCATATATACTTTCGAGAACGGTGATCATGATTCTGAAATCATTTTCTCGTTTGATGTAGTATTTCGCGAGAAAAATGGCAAATAAGAAATTTTTTTAACACACCTAGCTGCCTACACACTGAGATTGACCGTCTAGAAAAAGTACATACTTTTCGATGCTGAATGACGATTTACACACCTAGTAAGGTGCTTGCAATTCAAAAATGCAGCACTATGTTAACTTTCGGTCGAAAGCTACACAATCGGATAGTCCTAACTGAGCTGATTTCGAATATCACCTTTTGATTCGAATTCGATCAAGTTTTCGAGGAGAAATCCTCAGAATACTATGAGCACCAATAGAACAAAAGATTTGCATCCCTCTAAGAAAACTTGAGCTTTTGCCACCTTCCGTTCACAGTAATTTTTCGACTTTGATATATTCGAATTCACCATCAAAAACTGAGTCACCTTTGAGTCACAAAAACCATAATACCTGTTTTGCACAATTTTGACAGAGTAAGAGCTCCACAAAATGAGCTTCCTCTCTCGCAAATCTATCTCCTCTCTGGTTTTGAAACTTTTTTCCGGTCGTCAGACGCCATTCGAATCAGCATTTAAAGGTGAACTAAAGTATGCATCGTTGTTTTCAAAAATTTGTTTCATTCCTGAGAAAGTACATTCTCATTGGAATATAAATTGAAGATGTAGAGAACAGTACATTGTATTGTAATATAAATTGGAAATATTAGTGTAGCATATGATAAAGCTTGGAATAATAACATTTTACATGCAAGATAAATAAGAAGAATAATAACAAACATATGCAAGATACGATGAATAACATAAGCTAGCATTTCGATGCACCTCTATCACCTTGTCGATAGAGCTCAGCGTTTATTGCAGTTCTGGTGTTTATTAGTGTTTCTCGACAAAAAGAGCGAGAAAAAAACAACTATTTCGATCGTTACGCTCTCGCGGAGGTAAATGATTTATTTAAATCATTAAACGTCTCACGATTTCGAATAAATTATCGGAATTGGAAAATCGAAATTGATTTTCTGTGAAATCAAATGAGTTTACAGAAAATGAAAAGAGGAGAGTAATAGTAAAAAGAGAGAGAGATGGCTAGTATCAGCGCAATTTGTCCAGAGAATCTTCCTGTTATAATCTCGGCTTAGCGCTGTTCCATTGCACCTGAGCCACGACCTATTACAGTCAAGTAGTAGATAGTGTCTACTACAAATGCATGCAACCGCGAGCTCAAAACATTCTTTCGTTATTTTGTAGTAGAGAACGCACTAAGCTCTTAAATATTCTTTTAATTAATTTAAAAAAATTAATTTATTATTAATATTCTTTGCCAGCTTTCGAGCGATTTTGAGGAAAATAATATATATTTTCATACATTAATATGACCCTGTGTGAGATTTCCGCCTAAGAGCCGCTCATAGATTCCCTTGTCATGGATTTTCAGATAAGTTAGTTCGAATAATAATAATAATTTCTAATACTATGCAGAAGCACTATAAAAATGGTTGATAAGCACTTTTGTCTGAAAATTCAATAGGCTTAAAATCGTCTAAATTGTATGCGTGCCTTTATTTTCTAATTATTAATGTATATTTTTGTCGCTACCGAACTTATGGAGTTTCTCAATGAAATATTATATCGAGGCCCATAATGGTGGCAGCTATAGAGAAATGAACTTCTTGGAAGAAATATCATCATTGTGTAATCCACAAAAAGTTCTAAGGTTAATATATCTTCCAAAATTCTTTCAGAAAAAATAATCTGTGTCGAAATATTTTTGACATTTATATGTGGAAAAACTGGTAAGACCTGACTCAGCTTCACAAAAATAAGCTATGCACGTCACCATATACTCTATTAAACTATCTATTGACAAAGCTGAACTGAATGTAATCATAACTTACCATCTTCTATCTTTGCTTGGTCGTGGAAACCTTCGCGTATTCTGATCTTTTGAATCCAAGGAGATTGTTATTTATCCACTTCAGCGCGGAAGTTCGATGGTTTGATAAGTTCATCTTTTAGTTCTTTTAAGTCAGCCAGCCACTTGCTGAGATCTCTTTCAACATAATCTTCATCGTCACGACCGTTATAAACTCTATTCGATATTTTGCAAAATCGGTCAATAAGCTGGTCCTTGTTCTTATGTAGCAATCTGACAACGTCAGTCCAACATTGGTCAGCCAAGTGATAAATTTTATCAATATAGTCTTTCTTCCATTCATCAATCTGTTTTAACAAACGATGAGAATCATTTTTATTTGGCGTTTCGAGCTGCTGTTTCAGCATATCATGTTCGTAAACAACATTGTTGAGTACTTTTGACAAGCCTTGACGATGATCATTGAAACACCTTCTGCACAATTTTGCTAAACAGCCATCGCATGTGGTTATACCAGCATTTTTCACACATTTTGTAAATATATAAAATATGTGAAAAGTACAAGGATAACTGTCAATACAGCCGACTTATATTTACAGAACTAAATTTTTGTCTGCTCTGGAAATATTTGAACAAACGCGAAAAGTGAAAATGAATGAAAATTGCCTAAACTTTTGCCTCTACAGAAAAACGGTTTTATTCTCCGACAGTAGGATTCTCTTATGCCCAAGACATGGTCACTCTTGGAGTTTATTCTTAGGCAACATATTATTTGACTGGAAAGTCAAGTTAAAAATGACTTGACTTGGCTCGTGAGTCGGAAAACCTGTGACTTGTTCACCTCTGTTACGAACAATCTATTAGCTACTTTAGATGGAAAAACATCAAGAAGAATTGCACATGATGGTCATACAGATGACGTGTTGGATAAATACAATGACAAATCAGGATGAGAAACAGCAGCTGGTAAAAATGAAAACAAATAAGTGAGTAAAAGTGCGAACTGGTAAATGTGTTCGTCCGTAACAATATTTTCTGCGACATATCAAGATATTGAACTTCATAAACACGTTACCTTTATATAAATATATATACTGGAACAATCGGACAACGAATACCGATAAAAAGAGAAAGCAGATTGACTTGTATTGCAACATATCAGTAATGACTCAATTTATTTTCTTTCTATCATTTATAACAATCTGTAAGTATTCGTTGACCTAGTATGACTAACGCATGTGCTGATCTAGTTCGATGAATAGGCTCGGGAAGTATTTGTCTACAAAGTATTGGTAGAAATGGTACACAATATATGAAGAAATTAAGTACGACATTTTATGATTATGAACCAGTTGCTTATTCTGAACAATGCTGTCTGGTAACACTACAGCTAATGACAAGTATATTCTCCAAATCACAAGCGTTGACTTTTCTGCATATTGTTTTTAAATATTATACCGAAATGATACCTGGTGTTGGCGAATTTCAGTGTCTTACAAATTTATTTGACTCTAGTCAATCAGCATTCGAACGACTAGCGTGCTTAATTAATGATAAATTAGCATTGATGTTAGACATGCTGGAACACACGGACGTACTGATGGGAAATAAGGTTTATGAAATCGCTCAACAAACGGCTAAACTTCAGTATAAAAGTCCTCATGCAATTGCTTGTTTATATGATCTGTAGAACTGTTCTGATATTTTAATTGTATATAAAAGTAAAATAAAATAAAATGATACACACTAACAACACACTGATGCGTAAGTGAAGTAAGAAATGTTTTTATCATATCAACTGTGGCACGAAAGACTAATATGTGCACTTTTAGCAGCCAAAAACAGTATTTGAAAGAACCGTACTAGTGAACCTAAGAGAAGATTTTGTGAAAAACATGTCTTTTCCAGCAACACTGCACTGAACGAATCAAGAAACTGAATATAACGATATATGTTAACATTTTAGTGACATGAAGTGTTTAGCTTAAAGTTTTCCTCACAAGAAATATTTTCTAGATCGATTAATGAGACCTTGATTTCAGCATGTTGTACTCGGTTATTTTCTTCGACAACATAATGCAATCAAGTATGTTGGTCTCTTTTGAATGTTTTATAAGTTAAACTGTTCAAACTAAGTACACACCAATTCTAGCTCACGATTACTCTCTTAATTACTGAAATCTTCCCTAGTTTCTTGCGTCACACAATTGAACTATCTTTGTGCATTGGTTGCGATTCTTCGTTAGTCTGTTTTTTTAAACTAAAGTTTGCATGGTAGATTAGCTAAGTCGTTTAGCCATTCCACAATGTTCTCTTCACATATTGTAACGCAAATAAAGAGAGTAAACCGATTACGCGCTCACACTCGGATAGCAGAGTTACGAGATTCAGCCATTTTGTTCTAAAAGAAATCCTACAATCTGAAACATTTATTAATCTACATATATCTATGAATACGGATATAGAATCTGTGTCATGAACATAGATATATCTCTGCGTGCCTTCGTTCAACGGAGATGTACCAAGCACTCTAATTCCTACTGATTATTTTTGTCTCTGGTACTGTTAAAACGACCACGAGTTTTTGGTTTACCATAGCCGGTACATGTCGATATTTAATACAGAGAACTGATGAATGAAGTACGTACTAAGTGTCTAGACTATGTATTTTTTGTAGCCGTTGCACGGTTGTGAGACAATAACAGCGAGTGATTGTTTTTTTTTTTTATTAACCTGACCGGTTTCGAATTCTTCTTCAGAGGTTAACAAAAAACTGTATCTAAAAACTGTACAACAATCAAATTCACCTGCAATGTAGCCGTACAGTAATTGAACAAAAAGTATTTCCGAAAAGCGAATTCCAAAAATTTCACTTGTAACATCAACATCTTCCATAATCATATCCAGTTCAAATGCTGATTCAAATCAACATTTTCAGACAAGCTCTCTATAATGCAGCAGTCTACAGAGCGGGATAGTTCCACAATTGCTGCAAAAATATGTGGTGGTGTTAAACGAGATGATTCAAGACAAGAGCGACGCCGACGTTTAAGAATGGTGTTTGAACTGAAAAATTTCTTTGTTGCCTTCGGTTGGTTGGATATTTAAATATTGGAAAACTTTTTCCTGTGCTTTTCCGATGTCATTTTCGCATTCGACGTGATAAATCGTAAAGAACTGATATGTGGTCATTTCGTTGTGCGAAAGAAAGGAAGAAGTGGGTTGTTCGTTGGTAGCCATGTGCGGGAAAACAAGGCGTAGAGACAAAAACCAGGGCCGTGGTATGTCACCAACGTACCGTTAACAATCGGTTGGTTAAAGACATCCACGGTACCCCCAAATTCGGGCCCTGGTATCAAGCACACCCACCCAAGTGTACGTTTTTAAATTGTCTCTCAGACAGACAAACCGATCAGATCAGGGGGGACCGACGCGAGGTCTCGAAGCCTGACTATTCCGACCGATCCATCCGTCCTAGAAGTCTCAGCTCTATCTCGTTACTTCCTGGGACTACCTTGGTGGACTGTTTTTCGAGCCTCCTTGACCTCCTGCGCTTCTCAGCAAGCCACCTCGCGCAGAGTGGGAGTCCAAGTGCATTCAAATAATAGTAGCAGATGAACTCGGCGTCGGCAGGAGAATCTAGCGGCTGCTCTGCACTGTGTACAGAGCCAGAGGGGGGTGATCCGAAGAACTCTCTGAACTAGACCTCACAGCTGTACCTTCATTCATCCACTACTATTTGACAGGTCCAGGGAGAAGTTGTGGCACGAAGCCGATCCTCATTCTTGTTGTAGTTTCTGTCCATATTCCATAACCAGAGCCATTATCGTACATCATTAATCTAGTTTAAGGTCAATGCGGACAAAAGTGTCCATGTCGTTAGTGAGAAAATTCTGTTTTGTTAGATGTAGTCGAATACATAATTCATCAGATGCAGTTTTTCACGCTGAATTAGAAGGTCGATTTGACTGTAGCGTTTTTTAGCGATTTCATTATACTGAGTTGATCTCATCCCGAACTGGCTCTAAACAAATTCCATACAACGTTCTTTATAGAATTCTGTTTGAAGTATACATATTTTGATATCAGTAGATAGCTGAGGATCTGCAGATTCCGAACATGTGCTTTTGAATCGTTTAACATAGCTAAGCGAACAAATAATCAAGATTTCATGCGTATGTGTCACTTTCCGTGATATCTGTTATGCACCTCTTGTGGCCTGGTTTCTTCTCGAAAGATTGGATATCAAAATAGACATTTATACACCATTCGATAGAGAATTTCAATAGCTATATTTTGCACTATTTATATTTGAAAAACGAGAAATTTCGATTTTTCGCCAAATTTCCGCTTGCATGCCCACTGTATCTATGTAAAAGGAAAAAGATGGCGTCGTCGATAGAAAAAAAGACGAATATATTTCACTTATATATTAGTTTCTTTTCTTTTCTGTCGACGACGTCATAGTTTTCTTTTTACATACACACCAGAGCTCCTGCCGATCCCCCCGACTCGATGACCCGGCCCGGGACCGACTCGTCTCGGACCAGGCCGGGCCGAGCCATTCGCTTTTTTTTCTCGGGTCGGGAAACAAATACACCATGTAAAGGAATTCTATCCATTACTGAGTTTATTGTACAATAGACTCTCGAATATGTGCATATTTGGCAAAGCTTGCTCGACATTTATATTCAATTCCAGCAACGTCTGCTAGAGTCGAGAGGCAGTTTAGTGCCGTGGGTCTTGTAATTAATGAACGACGATCATCATTAAATCCTGATACTGTAGAAGATATATTATTTGGACGATCAATTCAAAAATCACTTGAAAAAAATCCACATCTGTTTTCCTAACCTTGTTTTGTATTTCCTTCTCTTCTTTTTCTCGCTATTGTTCATATGTTTTTGAAATTCCCTAGCCAAAAAGTTATTTCTGTTTTCTTAATTAACTCATACTGCTGCTGAACTAATCTTCAGCAATGGATTTTACTGTGTTTTTGCCATAACAAAATTGAATTGAGTCTAAAAAGAATTTAGAGTCGGGCTCGAGCCGGGCGATCCAGGAAAGATTACCACCTGGGCCGGGTCGGGCCAACCGATTCACATGATGGGTCGAGCAAGCCTCGACTTTTCTTGGCCCGGCTTGTTCCGGGCAGGCCATCAAAAATTCACCCGATTAGGAGCTCTGATACACACGTTGTACATATCGACGTTTTTCTTATCATTTCACACGAGACGTAAAAGCTAGCTTATACAAACCAATTATTTCTGAAAGTGGTATGAAGTGGTGAATGATTCAACTTCATTGCATCATGTTCCCGAAGAGAAAGCCGGGTAAAACATGGTGAATCAGTACGACAATTACCTTAAGATTCTTCACGTTTTAAATAAACCCTTTTCAGGTTTGGATCAAACTCGTTCCAAACCTTTTTGATTTTTTGAAATATCTTTTAAGAGTGTACACCGTCGTAAAGTCTTTCAAAATAAGTACGAATAAATGAAAGAAGAACGTATGCATGTCGATACATTTAGTTCTAGATTTAAAATAGATGATTCGATTAAAACAAAGACATCTAGCATTTTGGAATATTGGAGAATCTCGAGTATTATGACAATTGTGTAACGCATTGCAGTTTTGAGAGTTATGAGAATTTTGAGAATATTCAGAATTTTGAAGATTTTGAGAATATTGAGAATTCTGAGAATTTTGAGAACTATGAGAGTTTTGAGAGTATTGAGAATATTCAGAATGTTGAGAATTATGAGAATTTTGATAATAGTGAGAATTACGAGAATTTTTTGTATTATGAGAATTTTGAGAATGCGGACAATTATGGGGATTTTCAGTAAACTCACATTAAGGAGTATGCTTAACGAGACACTTTTCAAAGATGCCTCGGAAAATGGGAATGAAATTAATTTTTTAAAAAGCGGAAAAAGGTCCGTAATTACGAAAAAAAGAAGTGAACAAGCAGAAAGGGAGAGCAAGAAAACTTGATCAATTCCTTTCTGCACA